CTACTAAAATAAAATTACTCTAAATATTACAATAATTTCACGTTTATTCAAAATAAATTGTGAAGATTAGGCCCGTTTGAGGCAGCTTATTTGGTGCGACGGCGTTTTGAAAACGCACCTGGTCTGTTTGGGTAAACTGCGTTTTAGCAGCTTATGTGTTTTCAAAACGCAGAAAACAGTGTTTTCACACCGCACATATTTATGTTGTCTAGGTGCAGTAGGAGCTTAATAACAACGGTCTGATTTTTTTCAAAAAAATAAAAATTTGTAATAACCATCGGCACCTAACTTATCATTACATGTTTTTTAATCAGCTTATCAGCAAATTATTCAATAAGCTGCAACTGACCAAGAGACTGTAAATTTGATATATCAAGCACAATTCAAAAACATATTAAATGATCACACTAACGCAAATGGTGCTTATGCAAATTGGTCAGAAAATAGTCTGGAACGTCAAACACATCTACTACTAACAATAACACCACATAATTTAATATACGCAAATGAAGAGCCCTTACCCTAAATTCCCATTCTGCCCCTACACACTCCGCCACGCCAAAGACGAACAACGCTGCCGTTAATCGCCGTCCTATCCAGGTAACGGTACCACCCAAAATCACTTCTCTTCCTCCCCCACAAACCCATCCATTCCGACCGCTCAAAAGGAGCCACCACCTCTCCGTCAGCATCTCCGCCGCCGACGAGTTCCTCTTCTTCTTCCGGTGTCTCGTCGCACTCAATGCCCCCGCAGTCGCAGCTGTCCTCCGCTGAATCGAGTGAGAACACCATTGTGAACCGTTCCTTGGTCGTCGGAATCTCCTCCACGGTCCGAGCCATCAGTTCCTTAGGTTCCCTTCGGCGAAGCTCCTTCAAATGTCCCGTTGCAGAACCGAATTTCTCAGAGCATTCTGAAATGGCAAAACTTTTCCGTTCTTCCACTTCGGCGTCCGGAGATATTCCGAAAACGTTTGTAAAGACAGAAGCTTTCTCAAACGGAGCCGTAATCGGCGGCGGCTGCGGCGAGGGAGAGATAGGAGAACGAGTTTCGTATTTGGATCCGACGGCACGGATACGCCAGAGACCGACGGCGGCGGTGAGAACGGCTAACCAAGGCCACATGGAGCCGGCGGCGGAGGAAACGAGGAAATCTTCCGTCGGCGTGCGGAACAGCTCCATTTGGCGATGGGGGAAGGGTGTAATTTTTTTTTTAGCGAAGGGGGAGGGGGCTATGTAAATATATGTAGGAATGATGGAGGAATCTGAGCCGTTGGTTGCAGGGAATATGTGAGAAGATGCTGAGGATCGAGAATGGGAGATGCCGTGGAAGATTCCGTTTCGTGTGCCGTACCGGTGGAAGAATACAACACAAGCGTGGTTTACATGGAGTTGTGTTAATTGGGGAATTGGGGGGGCGCAGGCGCGAGATTTAGGATTTGGAATTGTAGTGAGGCTCGTGGAGATGGAGACTTTACAGGCTTAATTTATAGAAGACGACATCTTCCGCGGGACGGATGGGATACCTTCGGTCTACATTGTTGGGAGTATTTTCACGTAACGGGAGCTAGATTGATTTATATATCTGACATGCGTTCGTTGCTTCATTAATTCCAACTATTCCTCTTTTTTTATTTTACTTTTTTTTAGAAAATTTGAGATTCCAACTATTTTTTCCCTCTGCTTTTTCACACTACGCCGCATAAATATTTTTTTTTGGGGGTTAGATTTTTGTTTTTTTTTTTTAAGATCAGTGAGCTTCAAACAGGAAATTTTTCGGTGCAGAGAAAATATCTGATCGGGGACTTAGAATGTTTGTCGGCGACATCAGACACAGTTACAGTTATGACTTCAACAATAGTTCTCTCTCTTTGCGAGTGGATGTATATCTTATTATGACTTCAACAATAGTTCTCTCTCTTTGTGAGTGGATGTATATCTTATTTATCCATAGATTTGGGTTTGATCCAAACTTGAAAATGACTTGGATTGGAACAATTTTGATATCATTGAGTTTGTCTCATAGATCTGGTCAGTTTGACTATAAATTTGTTAAAATTGAAATTCTAGATAATTTATCATTTTAGAGCATTTTTTTTACATAAAAAATATTTTGAGATCCATGTCAAACTTCAAAAAATAAAAAATTAAAAAAGAAAGGTGATTCCAAACATGTTGCAATCAATCATGCAAAATATATTTTAATTCAAATAAAAATATAAATAAACAAGATAAAAATAAGAAAAAGAAACATAAAATAAAGTTTATCTCCGACTGTCTCTTATTTTCCTTGTTTTTCTCTCGTCCTAGAGTGTTTAGTATGGAGCTCAATAGGAACCGCTCCCGCCTCCTGTTGAGATCGCGAAAAGTCGTGATTCTTCACTGTTTCGCGAAAACCGTTGCTCTCGCCTCCAGGATCGCGAAACGATGCTGCCCCCTGCCTCTTTTAAGTTGTGAACAAAAGAGAAAGAAAATTAAGAACACGGTTCTCCTTTAGATTAAGTAACGATTTTTGGTGTTCTTTCTTCGAGCTTCTTTGGGATAGAGGAAGAGAAGTGCAAGCATTGTGTGTGTGTTTGGTAGAAGGAAGAAGAAAGAAGAAGAAGAAGATTGTTATCCCTTGGTTTCTTCTTGGTGGCTTGTGGCATAAGAGAAATTAGATTTATTTCTCTTGTAAGTTTATCTTCTTCGGTGTATCTCGATGAGTGCAAAGTTTCTTCGGTGTATCTCGGTGTAGAGAGAGAAAAGAGAAGAAGAGAGCAACAAAGTTAGTAAGTTCACTATTTTCTAACCACTGAAGACCTCTGTTGGGAGGCTACCCCCGCTAGACCACTATTTTCTAACCACCACTGTGAAAAATTGTAGCTACTAACGACACTGACATCATATACTCTGCCACCTGACCTCTACTCGACCACAGTGATACTGTTTTCTGGTGTGAATTTTCTCATTTTTAGCTTCGTCGAAGATCATTCTCCTATTTTATTTCTATATGTATATCTCACAACAAATACTGCGTCTAGAGTCTGGAAGCAAGCGCCCAGACAACAAACTCGATATACGAGAGTTTTTTTTTCTTTCTTCTCCGCTCTTTCTGGTGTATCG